CTATGCTTTAGCATGATTTGTCTCTTTATTGTATTCATGCTGCTATTTACCAGCTACAGCCTACACTGCCTATTTAGGAAAGCTACACTTGAATTTAGAAGGGCAGCATTTGTTTCATTTCTTTCGCTTTGAATCTAAAGATACTTCACAGATCTCTGAGCTCAGATATGTTTTTCTCATCTGGAAAAAAGGGATTTCTATTTTGAGATGAGACTGCTGAGTCTGTTCTTGATTTTCACAGTAACCCAAGGTGTTGTAGGGCTCCTATGGCTGAATCTGATAAATCGCCGGTTTGAACCGCGCATTATATTCATCACGCAGCACCTGTTAGTGAATATTTTCTGTTCTTCTCTCCAGCTTGCCTTGCACAGAGTTTTGTCAGTTATTTTCATTTCAATCCCAATCTAGTGTGCTAAATACATCCATGATTACAGTATGTGTCATCTTGCATTCAGGTCTGTGGTAAAGAAAGTTGAAGTGATAATGAAAGGAGCTCAAACCTCTATTCAAGAGGTTACTCAGCAGAGATGAGTTGGGTACTTGTGCCCATCTTCAGTACACATCTAGAGCAGATGATACCTATACAGAAAAGGGGACTGTTCAATTACATTTTATTTTAAACCTAATTTTATATTTAAACTTTAATTGGGCTGAATGATGCTTCTCTGGATCTCTGTTGGAAGAGGAAATTAAGATATGCTGTTATGAATAATCTGAATGCTAGTTAACACTGCTGAAGTGTTCTTAGTTAAACCAGAGTTATGAATTCACAGCCTTTTGCTGCCCACCCACCACTGCAGCATTCTAGTACACATGTGGCATTGTTCAAAGAGCAAGAGAAAACATCGGTACATTAATTCATTTGTCAAGATGAAAGGCAGAATGGCTGATTAAGATTCTAAGAGTAAATGGCATCCTGTTTCATTATGTTTTACTAAGTCCCCAGGCTCAGCTGGAAATATGTTTTATGAATTCACTTACACTGGGAGATGTATTGGTCTCCTGCTTGCTGCTCCTATAGCAGTCAATAGCAAAGTTCCCTTTAACACTGTACAGATGTACTGGTAAAGTACTTTTCAAGTGCAAGTGTTTTTTTGTATTTCAAGTAAGGGGTTTTTTCTGACTGCAGTTTGGTAGACAAGTGGATAACTTCCACTGGAACTTGTTGGAGGGAAGGAACTCGTTTTTCAATGGTTCTTTGCAAAGCCATTTCACAAAAGTGTTTCTCTGAGTTTTGCTATTTCAGATACCTCTTGTATTTGGTGGCCCTCATGTTAGGCAGCTGTTGTGTAATTAGCGGAGACTTTCTTCTTGCTATAAACATACAGCTATACACATATTCCTCTGTAAAGAGGCCTGCTGGGAGAGGCATTAATGACAGACTGTGGCTGTGGTGACAGCTGTACAGATGCATGCTGTACAAAGGGGACAGTAACATTGGGGTTAGAAAAGGGGTAGTTTTTCTGTCTTTTGGAAAGTACTTTGTTCACTGTAATTGCAATAGGATTTTTGAAGTTGTAAGATTGTTGGGGCAAAGACTGCATTGTAAATTTTTCTCTGTCTTATCCCTATGCTGTGTAATAACTAACTGAAGAAGCCCTAATTCTGAGGGTTCATTAATGTGCAAGATTGCTACTCTGGATTTGAACTGAAATATTATTGCTGAAACAGAAACTTTTGTCCTGAAATGCAGGTTTGAAATCCATAATTCTGTAGGTAAGGGTAAGACATGAAACATGTCTGGGTGCAGTTTGCGTGAGCTAGCCTTGAAAAATAGTGGTAAGGCTTGTGATTGGGAATTGCTCACCAAGAAGGTGGTTAACTGATCGTCTGGTAAAGGGATGCCTGGCTTAAAAAGAAATTTGAAATGGAGCAATCATTCCCAGCTCCTCAGCACAGGATACAAACTGCAAGAGAAAGAAAAAGAAGTGTTCAAAGCCAGCTGCATTCCCCTGCTTTTTTCACTTTCAGCCTGGAATTAGTTTTTAGGGTGTAATCAGTAAGGAAATCAGTGATAGGAGAGGGATTGGACTGTCCTTTGTGTTCTTCACTTCTGAGATTCAGGTGTAACCTGGGGAGGCTTTGTGTCTCGGTATGGAGACCTGTACAATTCATAGTCAAGGTCCTGGGCATCCTGTTCTGCTTGGGCAATATCGTGCATGGGCAATTTAGCAGAGAATAAAAACATGCATGACTGATCAAAATGACTGATCCCCAACATCTCTGAAGCAGAGGCTGTACCCAGTACTAACAAAAAGTTAGCCTAGAATGCCATAGAAAAGAAAGAGCAAGAGCAAACAGCAAATAAAGGAAAAAAAATCAAAAGGAAGGCATGGAAGCGGAAAGCAATGGGTGAAATTTGTAGGAAGGAAGGAAAACAAAAGATTAAAGAGGCTAGGTAGGAAGAAGCTTTGAGTGGGATTGCTCATCCAGTTGTACTTGTCTTTTTATATTCAACCTTAAAGGTTATGAAGTGCTTTCCTTGAGGCATTTATGTTTTATGTTTTTTTCTGCCTTGGGAAGCAGCACACCATTATTTGCACACTCAATGCTTATTTGCTTTAGAATTCTGGGAATGTGAATAAATAGACTTCTACCTCATTATATCATGCAGCTAAGCTTGAATTGATCTTTAAAAAAACCCCAGCCAACTAAAGCAAAAACTCAGGCCAAAAATCACCAAAAAACCCAGCCCAAAACCAACCAACAAACAAACTTTGAGATTCAAATGTGCCTTTTCATGCAGCAGCAGTTCTGATTAAGGACAAGTGTAGCCATGATCTCTTGCTGATAAATACTTCACAGCCTATAGCAATGTGTTACTACTTTCCATAAAAATAGAGGCAAACCCTTCAGTGAATTAATTTAGATTTTCATTCAAGATGTATCTCAAAAGAAATGTGTGTAGCTGTTACTTCAGAATTTACTGGATAGATTTTCTCAGGAGAGAAGGAAAATACAATCTTTCTGTCTGACATCCAGGTTCAATTTATTATGGCTTAGGCATGGGTTTAATCTTGCTATCTTGGATGGAAATCTGCATGTAGATGTGTTTGTTTGTTTGCTTGGTTTTGAAGCTTTCTTTTTCTTAACCAGAGGTTTTCATGGCTCCAACAATAATTCCTACAGATGATACTGACATGTGCTAGTAGAGGACAAAGCTGACAGATGTTCCAGCTGCTATTGTACTTGGTAGACATTTGTTGTAAATAATTCTGCTGGTCTTTTTGCTTACAGATGTGACTGATGCTTCTTGTAATCTCTAAATAGATGCATTGCCAAATAAACTACCAGGTTTTGAAACAGTTATGAGGGTCAGGTTATTCTCACAGTCAGGGAATGCTGTGGTGATATTAATTTCCTTGAGCTGGTATGTCTCATGGCATCAGCACAGTGCCCTATGTACTTCATAGGGAGGCCTATATACCGAAGGCTATGTCCCACTGAAACCAAGGAAATTTATTTATGCAGAGAACTAAACTGTTTCTTCTCAGATGTAAAATCTAGGATTTAATCATGTGTACCGCTGAGAACCAGTACATTTTACTGGCTCCCTTCCCACTTCAGGGTTGAGAGTGCTCATTGTAGTAAGGACATGGCAGCTGGTGAAATTATCCTCCAGACTTGCCTAGATTTCCATGGCAGACTGCGGGGACAGTACTCTTCGGTAAATATAATTCGCACCATGTGGGGAAGATGTGATATTGCAAGATAACCAGGGATTTTTATGAAAGGCTAGTCCCTCACTGCAGTCTGCAACCAGGTGTTGGAAAAGCAGACACTTAAAAATGCTTTGGCATAAAATTCAAGCTTTGTGCAATTAAAAGCAACATGATGGAGAACTGACAAACTCACTGGGCCCCTCCCTCTGAAAGAATGGTAGGGCTGCCTTTACAGGTGAAAAGACACAACTTTGGGCATCTGAATATCACAACACTCTTTCAGCGAAAAAGAATTCCAGTGACAGAAGATAAATCTTGTCTGTAATATTAATTTACTCAAATTAAATGGAAATTGCAGTCCAAAAAACAGTTTCAGGGGTACATTTTTTTTGTTCTACCTCACTCTATCTATTCAGAGCTGCTCTACATAAAGCACAGTAACAAAATATTTTTAAAATTACATATCTTCCTATGTCTCAGTAGGATAGTCGTTCAGATCAGCAGAGTGAATCTGCAAGGTTGATCTGGTTTGTTATCCTTTGTGTTAGAAAAGAATAGTTTAGTTGGAAGGGACCTACGATGCTCATCTAGTCCAACTGTCTGACCACTTCAGGGCTGACCAAAAGTTAAAGCATGTTTGTTACTAAGGGCGTTTGTCCAAGTGCCTTCTAAACACTGACAGGCATGGGGCATTGACCACCTCTTTACGGAGCCTATTCCAGTGTTTGACCACCCTCTTGGTAGATAAATGCTTCCTAACATGCAGTCTAAAATTCCCCTGGTGCAGCTTTGTGTATGGATGCAGATACCATTGTGTTTCTAGAAGACAGATGAATTCCTGGAAGCAATATTTCACCAGGTTTTGAGAGGTGGAAGAAGAGCTATGGCAGATTGTAGCTGTGTTCTGGAAAGTCTTTGAGTGTGGCACAGCATGTTGAGGGGGATCAAGGGTTGGGAAGGGTAAAGGGAAGATATAGTTGGTGGATGCTCAAGACTAAAGTGCCTGCCTTGTGGTTACCTCAGGCTGCAAGGCTTGGGTTAAATTTACCTGCCCTTTCTAGCCCTGTACTCCCAACAGCAGCAATCCTTACGGTAAACAAGCTCCTGTCTTCATTGCGTGGTGCCCTTTCTGAGAACATAAAAAGGGCATACATGGAATCTCCACAAATATACCAGACTTGCGTATAGAAGCTTGATTGTGCTGGGATCTCCTTTGCAGGTTTTCAGACAAAGATTGCAGTGTTTAGAGAAGCGAGCTCGCTCTTGTGTTCTGTAACCATGTGAGCTGTCATGCTGCACTGTTTACTGACAAATAATAGTATGTCTTATTTCTCACAGGGCTTCCAAAGCAGCTGAGTCCAGGAGCTTAAGGAATGCCATGCAGTAGGTGCTGAACTAAGTGGCACTGAAAGTAACAGAAAAAGATGGCAGTCTGTATTTGAAGTAATTAAACACGTGGACTCTCACTGATAAGAAACCATGTCCAAAAAAGGACGTAGCAAGGGCGAAAAGCCTGAGGCACTGATTGTTGCCCTACAGGCTGCCAATGAGGAACTCAGGACCAAGCTAACAGACATTCAAATTGAGCTGCATCAAGAGAAATCAAAGGTAAGTGAGGATTTGGTTTTATTTAACAGTGTCTGTGCTGAAGGAGGGAAACACATGAAAAAGCTGGTATTACAGCTGATCAGATGGAACACAACTGTTTCCTAGAATAGTGGTCTGCTGCTTTCTCCACATACAGCATTTTCTTACTGTGGATGTCCTGTTGCTTGCATGGAAAAGACTTTATTGAGGTACAAGTCTAAGAGGCCTCTGGCACTCAAATGGAGCAATGTGTCTTTTGTAGCACCTTTGGCCATATTCAAGTTAGTGGGTTTCATCCTATCCACTCAGTGTTTAGAAATTGTGCAGTGTTGCTGTTTTTGAATGGCTGATATCTCAGCAAGACATGCCCTTATTTCAAAGTCAAGTGAAGGGTTCCTTGAGTGTATAGCATGGCAATCCATGTCAACCCTTTCAATCCATCTGCAGTGCAGCTGAATTGTATTTATACCCTAGGGTATGTATGCAGTGTTTAAATCTTGTTTAGGTACCACTTGGTCTGCCACAGTTACGGTCTCAGATATGTAGGCTAAAGGGAGCTGAGTATCACACACACGGTATAGCCATGGCCCTATGGTATAGACATACCTGTGGAGGTTTGAGGTGCCTCCCAGGTAATTTAGAAACCTTTTAGAAACCTCAGAACTGTGTGCTGCAGCTTCAGCTCTTGCCTGTATCTTCTGCTGAACTTTCCACTCTCTTTTCCTGCATTATTTATGTAGGGCAGCCTTCAGATTTGTTTTCCATGGAGCCTTCTGAGGAAGATGCCTCTCATTTTTAAGGAGTGTTACTTGTCAGAACGATCCGGTGATAGAAACCTACCTTCACTAAATCATCTCCAAATAATCAATTAGGCCTGCAGGCTTGACCACCAGTGTCTCCTGGAGGGCTTTCAGATGACCTGCTACTATGCTTATTCGTATTGACAGGTTTTTTTTTTTTCCCCGGTTTTTTCTTTCTGAAAAAATCATGGAATATAGAATGGGTTTGGTTGGAAGGGACCTTAAAGCTCATCCAATTCCAAACCCCTGCCATGGGCAGGAACTATTGCACTAGATCAGGCTGCTCATAGCCCTGCCCAACCTGACCTTTGAGGTTTGCTTACTCTTCTTTGTGGTCCTTTTTCAATAAGGAATTAACAAGGAAGTTCTTACAATCTTTGAAACCACATTCTTTTTCACTGTAAACGACAAACCTACCAAGTTTGCTTTGAACTGAAACCATTCCTTATCCATTGCTTTCCTTTGGTGTAGGTTCACGCAGGTGACTATTGTGGAATTGCTCAGGGTTATGAAGTTACACCTAGAGATGTATTAGTGCAAGTGTACTGTGGACTGGTGGGTTGCTCTGTAATTTTGATTCCGAAACTATGGCCAAAGAACTTTAAAAACTATTTTTAATAAGGACTAGCAAATGATGTATGCTAAGTAAAGCTATCTGTTTCATAAGCATAACAACCATGAAGCATGCTTGTCTGTAGATATGTGACTAAGAAGTTACTACAAATGTCTGTGAAAGCGCTGTGTATGGGTTAGAACATTTGTAAAAGATGAAGTGTTTCCTGGACTTTGAGACTTGCACTTTACCTCAGGTGGGATCACATAGAGCCAAGCACTTCTCTCTCATCTGATTGACTGCCCATGGTCATGCAAGTTATAGGAACCTTGCTATATCTGAGCCCTCTAATTTTCTGGTGAATGTGACTGACATTGATGGGATAGAAAGTTGTTAGACAGATGCATGCGTATACATGGGGTCTTATTTCCTTAGGAAATACTTAAGCTACATGTGTCACTGTGTGAGGTAAGACAGGGTTGTTTTGACTTGAGTAAAACTGCATAAAATCTGTGTGAACGCCCTGGGAGTTGGCCTATATTTTGCTTTAGGAGGGTGAAAGATCATCCAGGCTCTTCAGCAGGGTCTTCCTCAATTTGACATGACTGTGTGTCTGTGTGGGCCTGTTTTGATAACATTATCTTGGGAGCAAGTGACTTTCATTTTATCTCAATGTAGGTTGCTAAACTTGAAAGGGAGAAGACTCAAGAAACTAAGCGCATCCGCGAGGTGGAGCAGCGCAAGCAGACTGTGCAGATCACAGAGCTAAAAGCCAAACTCCATGAGGAGAAAATGAAGGAGCTGCAGGCTGTGAGGGAGAACCTCATCAAACAGCATGAGCAGGAGATGACACGGATGGTCAAAGTCCGAGACAGTGAAATCCAGCGCCTGAAGTCAGCGCTGAGTGCGCTGCGGGATGGGAGCAGTGATAAAGTAAGGACAGCGCTGACTATTGAGGCTCGTGAGGAGGCCAGAAAGCAGTTCGACTCTGAGCGCCTTAAACTTCTGCAGGAAATTACTGAACTGAAGTCTGCCAAAAAGCAGGTAGATGAGGCCCTTAACAATATGATCCAAGCCGATAAGATCAAGGCAGGGGATCTTCGGAGTGAGCATCAATCCCACCAGGAAGCCATTTCCAAGATCAAATGGGAGAGTGAAAGGGATATTCGCCGCCTGGTCAGTAACCGAAACAGTTCATGTGTTCTTTTATGCCATAGTGAGTTTGCCTCTTGTGCCCTTAGCTTTTTCTGAATGCAGAACTCCGCAATGCACCTCAGTTTGCAGAAGTATTACAGGCTTCTCACTGTTATTTCTTAGCAGTAAGCAGATCATGGTGAGTTGGTGAGAGAGCAACCACTGCGACGGCAGCTAACACCTTAAAGTGAGGAAATGGTTGGCCTAGCCCGTAAGAATTTGGCTTGCTGAGATGCCAATACACGTGCACTACAAAGTGTTAGAAAAACAGTGTTTGCATCTGCGCTTGTGGTCTGTTAGTTTCTCCTGCCCTTGTGATGGTATCCTAAACACATTAATCCATGGCAGGAGGAGAGATATCTTTTGTTTTGTTCTTGGCACAGCCTTCAGTAATTACAGGGGAAAATGAACAAAATGAGGCCCACATTAGCAATGGTGCAAGTTGCCATGTTTCCTCATCCAGGGAGCCAGACCTGCTTGCAATGGTGGAAAGTTTGGCTTGAAAACTGGAATTCAGGATTTAATAGTTAAGTAAAAGAAATAGTGATGTAAGCTGTCAGGAATGATAATTTTTGGGGGGTCATCCTTAACCTGTTTGAAACCTGTGTATGTTCTTCTGTTGCCAGAATGCTCAGTGATGTAGTGCGGACTAGGAGTGGTGAATTCTTCATATCTGCCTTCTGATTTTGACCCTTCTTGCTACTTTGATCCCCATTTGCAGTTTTGTGTAGCCATGAGGACAAACTACTGGGTTTTTTTTGTTGGGTTTCTTTTTTCCCTCATCTGGAATTGAGGCTCTGTCTACATATTTTCATATGGAAAGGAACTATAGTGAAACTCAGGGTAAATCAGAGCTACATATAATAACACTAAGATCAACTCCGGTTGCACCGTTGTGTTGTGTATTTTATTTTTAGCCACTGATGAAAGGCTTCTTGACAGCTATTTACTCACATAAGAAACTTGAACATGTCCAGAATTATTTTTATCTTACACGAGTGTTTTCCAAATCCACTGTATTGCTATTAGAGTGCAGGAAGTTACATCAGGGTGACATCTAGTGAATGGAGATCAGAAGCTAGTCCTACTCACTGGAAAAACAGTCTGGGGAAGACTTCTGCAAGACTGGAAAGTTGCAAGACCAGAAAGTGTCTTTGCCTGAAGCTGCCAAAATTCAGGATAGATACAATTTTTGTTTTCAGGGAACGATTAGTTGTGTTCCCGGATAATAGAACTTCTGTTTTCCAGAGTGATTTGCAAATTCTCATTCACTAAATTTTTTGGAGCTTGATGATGTTGTCAGTTTTGTATCAGTTTTCATGGTTGCATGCTCTGATCTTAGAATTCTAAGTTTTCATCTAGATTTTCCTATCAGCCATCGTTCTCAAAAATTGCTGTGAGGTGAAATAAGTGACACTTCTTTTTGTCTTGGCTAGACCTGGGGTATTAAATAGAAATTAAGTAACAATAAAATGAATAGCTTGAGTTTGCACTCAGCCAAGGTTAATAGCATAGCAGTCACCTTTAAGAAATACTGGGTCTGCACAGATCTTCTGTTTGTCAGAACTGGACCATAACCTCTCCTGTCCCAACCAATGCAGCTGCATTTACACGAGGAGGAGCTATTCTAAACGTTCTGGGGTTTGTCAGATTTTATACTTATTTTTCACTAGTATCAATGACCAAAATGCAGTGCAAAAGCCTGAACTATTCACCCAGCTATCTGTTAACATTGCACCAGGATCAGTCCCCGGGCTTCACTCGGTAAGGCTAGTGAATCTGCCACTGTGTCAATGTACTGTTATGGCTGAAATCTCAAAGTGTGTTGTTTTACAAGCCTGGTGCAGTGTGATATAGCAGATTTAAATGTTGAACACTGCTGTTAAGTAAACCATACACTACTATATTGGAGAAGGCTAAAATGGTGTTGCGTTTACACAGTAATATTGTTGTGTGTTTTTTCTCTCATTCAGATGGATGAGATCAAGGCTAAAGACAGGATCATATTTTCCTTGGAGAAAGAACTGGAGACACAGACAGGCTATGTACAGAAGCTGCAGCTGCAGAAGGAAGCACTGGATGAACAGCTCTTCTTGGTGAAGGAAGCAGAGTGTAACATGAGCAGTCCCAAGAGAGAAATCCCAGGAAGGGCCGGAGATGGTTCGGAGCACTGCAGCAGCCCTGTATGCAGGTTTTACTTGCTGCTGCAAAGCAGAAACATGGCTGTTTCTCTTGCTTAAATATTTTCTCAGGCCCTGGGAAAACATTCCCACTCTATTCACTACAGAGAAGTTATGTCTATAGATTTTTCAGAGAGAATACTAATGAGACCAAGCTTTGTAAGGCTGTTTCCTCAGTTGCTGTATTTACAAGTATAAAATATATTAAATAATTAGTGCACCTTTGGAAGAATCATTCCATTAACATAACTACCTGGATAGCACAGATCCTTAAAACCGCATAAAACCACATATGAAGATGGTCAGGAATGGAGAGGGTGAAGGAGGGCATCAGAATCTGGGAGACTTTTGGGAGATCTTTCTTTGTCTTATTCTCCAGGTATGCAGCCCTTGCCATCACTCACAAAGCATGCAACTCACCAGTTGTGTGACTAAATGTATGATGTTTGGACAACAAATGTGTGACTATACCCGTGTTTATACATATAAGGAATAAGAAAATAAATGCAATTGATACTGAAAAGGATGTCCTTTTTCACCTGACATAGTGGCTCAGCAAATAGAAGTGAGGTATAGGAAAAAGCAATAAAAATTAGGATCTTTTATCTTTTTGCTTTTTCTTCCCCATCGTAAAACCATACCAACGTCTGTTTGGTTGTTTTCTCTTTATTTTTTTAACAGCTGAAAATTTTCAATTGAAGTGTCCCCCAAACCAGATACTTTCTTCCAAATACATGTATATTTTTGCAAGCACGTTCAATATTGTGAAAATACATAACTACAATTTGCTGATGATGACAGCTTAAGTTGACTGGTGGGTGGTTTTTGAGGCTTCTTTTCCCAAGCATGTATTTTGAAAAGACTCAGTAACTGTATTATATTGTTGCCAATAAACAGGACTTGCGCAGAAACCAGAAGAGGATAGCAGAGCTGAATGCCACAATCCGAAAGCTGGAGGACAGGAATACGTTGCTTGTTGATGAACGAAATGAACTGGTGTGTAGGCTTTGCACTGTCGGACAGAGGAGGTTGGGAGCCATAGGGAAAGGCAAAGAGAGGAGGATCCAAAGATGACAGGCAGTGATGAATATGCCTTTCCCATCCATCAAGAGGCTGAGGATGACTTTTTTAATCCTAGAATTAAACAGTAATTTCATTGAAGTGACATGAGTAAAAAGTCACAATAAAAGTTGAGGCAGAGAGATTTGTAGGTGTCTGTATGAACGCTTATGTTCCCTCCTTGACCTTTTGAGCATACAACAGTGTATGGTGGGGCTTATCCTGTAACTGAAGTAATGTTTATAATCCAGTATTTGACCAGGCTGAGAATAGTGAAGGGATCTAGGGAGACTGGACAGTGGTGAATTGATCCCTTTATCTCACTTAATCCTAAGTGGTGATATGTGTATGTTGAAGTCAGCATACTGGCTTTTTAGCCTCTCTGTATTTCCCCTTCTGTGATTAAGGATGAGGGTGTTGAAATTCAACTCATGATTTTTTTTTATTCCTGAGCTAGGACTCCTAATGCACTTGTTTCTCATCAGTTTAGCTGGCTTGAATCTCTTCAAGTTCTTAACGTAGTATTTGCAAAATGTCTTTGCAAGATTGAAAATTACAGATATGTTCATGTGTCTCCATTTATGAAAAGCTCTTAACTCTCAGACTTCTGTGCCACTGAATAACTTGGAGTCTGATGGGTCAGTCTGAATACCTGCTGCATGTCATTAAGTGTTCAGGCTATTTTTTGAAAAGAAAGAAAGTGCTTTTAGAAAGCTGCTGAGTTGTTCCTCACACAACGTGGCTACAACAAACACATTTGGTTAAAAGTGACCAGGAGTACTGCTGGAAATACTACATGCTTTGATTCGTTCAGATTAGAAACAACTAACTTATTTCTTAGGGTAGGACAAACAGTTGTTTTATCCACAGCTTTTCTGATCAAAGATGTAATGACTTCCTAGCTGCTCCCCCCTTTTCTGTTAGCAGAAGGGATTGTCAGATACTTGCTAACCTGCTTCAGACTAAATCACTGGTTCAGTTTAAATAGCCTAGTAAGATGATCTGGTGATGTAAGCAAGTGTGGTTGACTGTGCTAAATAGCTACAGAAAACTCTTGCAGTCCTTTCCTCAGCAGAACTGCAAGGGGCAGGAACCTCCCAGTGACAAACAATACTACAGAACTGGGACAGTGCCTTTGTTAAGTAGATCATCTGGACACAGAGATGATGTCTTTTCAAGGCCACATGACATCTTCCTTGTTCTCCCTTAGAGAAAGAAAATATAGCTATAAAACATTCAGTGTTACTGAATGGAACTATTTTTTTCAGAGGAAGAGATCTTGCTTAAAACTCTAGTTGTACCAATACTGGAACTTCCAAGCATGCCCTAAGATATCTTCCTATCTTAACAGGATTTGATGACTAAATGTCATGTGATTTCTTGATTAAAACAAAGTTCATTGTGCATGTGCACAAGTATTTCACTGTGTGGCATTAAAAACCAGAGTTACAACTATGTTGTTATTGCTGTGATCCAGACTGAGTAGATACCTATGCAAATCTGTCTTTCAGTGAGAAAATCGGTGAGTTTCTTGCAGATGAAGCACAGGTCATTTCAGACTTTTGTAGCAGCTTTGCCTGACTGTGTTGGGTTGCTTCATTTCTAAGTCTCAGTTTCTTGTTGATAAAGCCATCTTTTGGAAATGAATATGCAGAATTATGTTTTGAGGTATATAGATAAAGCTATGTAAGCTGTAAACATCAGTTCCACTAAATCACTTTGGTGTTTTACTGGGACATTAGTCCGATAGGGAAGAAATAAAAGGACTTCTAACAAAGGAGTGAGAACAAACTCTTTTATTTGGATTATTTACCATTATTAATTGCTATTATCAATACAGCTGAAGCGTGTCCGAGAAGCTGAGAAACAATGTAAACCTCTTCTGGAAAAGAACAAGTGCCTCACGAAGAGAAATGATGAACTTATGCAGTCTTTGCAGCGTATGGAAGATAAACTCAAAGCAGTTACTAAAGAAAACATAGAAATGGTTGGTATCGAAGAGCAAAGTGAGGATTGCTGTAGATCTATGTCTGTTATGGTAGCCACATCTGCATAGTGTATGCATGTATATATGTACAAAAGAAGTGTTGTATATCGTGTGTAATACTACTGATAAGATAAAACCATGCTTATGTCTCTGTATAATAGATACATACTGTAGCATCATGTATTGCATACAATACACTTAAGTGAATGCCTAATATGTGAATGTAGGATGTTTACTAAGATCTCCAAGATTAGAATATTGAGTTTCAATTATTTAAAAAAAAAATTAATAATAATTGTATCAGAATCATATCACAGTCTACTGTTTGGCATTTGGGACTCAAAAAGGAAGCTATTAAGAGTGATGTTTTCAGCCAGTGTGATGTTCATCTTTGAATATACATGTTCTTGTTATTGCTGATGATGGTGAAGTCCTGGTCTGCCACTGAGGGCATACGGTCTTCCCATAAAACATAAACATGGTAGATGGGTATGGGAAAGGGTAATTCTGGTATTCTAAATTTGTCTAGGGTTATCAGTTTCACATCCGGGATATGTTAAATGGGGTCAAAGCCTGTGTCCTTCAAACGAAATTTCCCTGAGTATCAGTCAGAATCCACTCCCTACACATGCACTGAGGTTGCTTTGGCATTAATAAAAACAGGAGGTGGAAGTTCTGGGTTGCCAGATGTAAGATGGCAGGCTGAGACAACTTCCTCTAAGTGTGTTTGTGTTCCTTGTCTCTGGCTTGCACCAGCACAGTCACGAGCAGGCTGACTTCTGCAATGGATGCAGCTTTCCTGCGATTAGGATGAGAGGATCAGATTCACTTTCTTGAAAAAAAAGCTTTAGTGTTACAAGGTTAAGCCCCTTTAAGACTCTGCAATTCAGGTGTCACAGGTCAGAATTGTTCTTCCACAGCTGTGGTAGTACAGATCACAGCCCCTTGGGCTGTCCCATAGCAGAGAGAAGAGACCTGGCAATGTGCATGCATTAGACATCAGCAGTCACATGTTCTAACTTAGCTCCCTAAGATATACTTTTTGTACTATCGATGCCCAAATTATGGAAGCTAGCAGGCTGTGGGTGGATAGAGCAATTCTCACGGGCTGTAGCCATCTCTTATCCCAGGTAGGATGTGGATTTCTACTTAAAAGTGATGTGGTACCACAGTTTTTTGCCTTTCCTCTTCTTCCTACTGGTTATATGTCTTCCATGTGACTAAAGCATGTCCCTCTCCTCAGTGTGTATGGCCATGTGATGGGTATCAGTAAGGGCATGGGGTCACAGGAGTAGATACTGTTTTGCATACTCACCAAACAGGTAGGGAGTTCAGCTGAATTTGCCAGATGTTAGGGCGTCTTGATACATGGCAAAGGAAGAGCTATGGGTAAAGGCTGCTGTAGAGGCTACCTTGCCACGCAAAAAGTAAATAGGTAAAGCTTTGTTTTTCTGGTTGAAGAACTCGAACTTCCTGTGCTGCTCTGTTGTTAAGAAGTGCTGGCACGTATAAATAAAGTTATAAAAGTGATGTTTCTGAGGGATATTTAAAGGCTGTGCAGCTTAAATGTCTAATTTTTAGCTGAAGGTGGTCTTTTAATTGCTGGATCTTACTTTATCTGTTTTTCTTCCTACCACAGAGAGAAAAAATTACATCACATCCTCCTCTAAAGAAATTAAGATCTCTCAATGACCTGGATCAGGCTAATGAGGAACAAGAAACTGAATTCTTAAAGCTTCAGGTCATAGAACAACAGAACATAATTGATGAGCTAACGAGGGTACGTCCAGAGCACCAGGAAATTAGGAACAATTCCTATGTACAGTTCACCACTGATGGTATTTCTTCTTGTAACTAGAGATCCAAGGGTTAATATCTTACTTTTAACACCTGCAGATTTTCAGATGTAGGTGTGCAAGGGAGCAGTTTAATTGAATTTCTAGTGGGGCATCAGCCCTTACAACTCAAAAGTATAACTTATATGAGAACTGAGCTCTAGAAATGAACGCAGACTAAGAACTGTGGAGCTTGGGAAGGTACCTACATGTTCACAAGGCTGTTTTGTTTTACTGCTATAACCTAAGCGTTCACAAGGCTGTTTTGTTTTACTGCTATAACCTAAGCTACCATTCAAAACTTTCCATAACAAGAGGCAGGCACACAGTGTGATACCATGTGCTGGGAAAGCATGTGCTGCTAGATGGTGGTTCACTCGTTCTCCTGTCATTTAATACTGACAATCCCTTTTTCAGCTGACTTTGTATTATGATGTTGAGGGTAAGGAGAAAGAGACTCCAAAACACGCTGTTGCCTTTTCTAAGAGGTTATTGCTAGGAGGGGTGAGATCAACATTACCATCATGTAACAACTTTGAAATGGGCAGCATCTCCTTTGCAGGGAAGGTGAACAGCCTTTCACACAAAGCCCAAACCAGGCCCCTGCAACAGACTTCCCAGTGATTTTAACAGGAAATCCATCTGTGCCTGTCATTCAACATCCTGTCAAGGCAACTGCACAACAAGGGTTTTTCTGCAGATATCCCATCTTCCTCAAGTGGTTTTCAGCTGACATGCATAGAGATTTGGATATGAATTCACCCACCTGGAATCAGATTGCTGTTTGAATGTATGAACAGAGAGTTGGTGAAAGCCCAATGATTTATTTCCTCTGTAGATTTGGCTTTCTAAAGCTGCAAGCAAGATGAGAGTTACTTTTTAATTTTATTTTCCAGGACAGGGAGAAACTCATTCGTCGCAGAAAGCATAAAAGAAGCTCAAAGCCAATTAAAGTAAGAGAAAAATGGTTTTTGGTTTATAAAAATACTAGTAGGCTCTGTAGGAAACACGCTTTAGCAATCTGATTAAAGAGAGCTTTGTGGATTATAACAATCTGCTTTAGTGATCAGGTTTATAAACACCTTACACTTTGGGAGAGCTTTTTAACTCCACTTTGAAATTCAGTTAAGGGTATGTAGCTATTTTATTTCCAGTAAAATGGGGTTTTGCCCCCTCCCTCTGAAATAGTAATAATCTTCTTTCCATCTGGTTTCTATAAATACTGATCTCAATATCTATTATGCTGTGGTGTATTTACATTTCCAGATGCCCTCCCATCTATCTTCTGCTGTTTTTCATAGCACATATGGGTGAAAGCAAAATCCTTGTGCATCTTTATTCTTCAAGTGGAAGTTTTTAAATTGAGTGCCATTCTCTCCTGCTCAGTTCCACAGGCTACTCCATGTATTACCCTGAATTGGGTCAAGACCAAAGCTGGTGCTGAGTAGTCAGTAGCGTTTCAAATAGTTCCCTTTATAAGCTAGATGTGAAGAATGACTTTGTAACAGCCATGTCCTACCTTCAGAAAATGGAAATGCTGTGTAGGAGACAGAGCTTAGTTGCAATTCGTCCCTCAAGCACATCCCCTGGTATGTCAGCCACGTTCTGTGAAAGAAATGCAGGACTGTCCTACACACAAGAGAATTTCAGTGTCATCACATTGTTTCTCTGTGGGTTTTGAAGCAAGACACAGCAGACATAGCTGGCAGACAAGGACTACAAAATATTTTAATCAGTCAACTTTATTTCAAAGCCAGAGATTATAACATGGGAGGATATGGTTATTGTCTTCTACAATAATGAACAACATAAAAAGATAATATATGCAAAAGGTTGCTGGCATCTTTGGTACATGTTTTTTGTATGATTAAAATTCCAGGTTTAGAAGGCTGCAACCTGTAAGCAAAAGTGAAAAATGCTGCAAAGCAGAAGTGCATCTTAAGTGCCCATTGATCAGTTTGTCTGCAGAATTATTCATAAACCAAGTATTTAAATGCTGAATTCTGTGCCCTGAAGCTAAGCCAGCAGGGCCAGGCATCTATACCTTCATAGGACATACAGTTTTCATTTGATTTAATTCCGTTACTGAGATAGAAGATAGTGAGGTGTCAGACATTTAACCAAAGTGTGTAGTGTGAGCAGTCTCTTACCACATGAGATTGTAACTGAGTTACTGTAGTACTGGAAAGATGTGCGAGATAAAAGTTACTTCATGCTAGTTTGTATTAGCATAACTTTCACTTACTCCAACAGCAGTATCAGTGAGAAAAGCTCCGAGATATTAAAAATATCAGCAGTTTGAGAGAATAAGGAGGGTTCCCTATTCTACATGCGTTTCCATGCTGTTATGGTGTTGTCTTTGCCCACCAGTCTGCATGTTGAGAGATGTCTTCTGAGCAGCTTTCGTGTTAACGAACAATTCTTATGCCTTCCTGCAAGAGCAGAGACTTTTCCTTTAGCATGGTGTTTTCCAAGTTTTAGACTGAGCCAGGTCCTCAGCTCAGAAAAAATTACTCAGCAAACTCATTCTCCACCAGTCCAAGACCTAATCTTCCATATGGTTCTTTTTGGGTTGTTTTGGAGATGGTAGTTGCAGGGGTAGCCCATCGCTCATTTTTATGTCTTGCCTTTAAGTAACCAGCAATGTGATTTTGGACTGCCCTTTTCACCCCATCAGAAACCCATGTTTCCAAGGAGATTCAGAAATCATGTTTTCCCTCCTTTAGAGACATGTGGTGGATACAGTTTTTGGGTATGATGATGATTCCATGGACTCTGAAACATCCTCTGTGGCCTCATATAGAACAGACAGAACACCAGCAACCCCAGATGATGATCTAGATGAGGTAAGAGCTGGCTCTTTCCATAGGCAAAGAGAGATTTTCAGGAGACTTTGACTTCCAAAAGTGGTTGGGCTCTCAAAACACTGAGGTCTTTATAGTGTGTACTGAGTGCTAAGTTCTTCATTAGGTTTTGCCTCAATTTTGTTTACACTAAAATGCTGAGAAGTTCTTTCAAAATCTAGTCCATAGAATCTACAGTATGACTTCATTGCAATCTGACATGATTTTTTTTCCCTCTCTCCTTCAAGAAAATAAACCTATCACATTTCTTTTAGCTTAAAGACATAAATTCTGTGTAAATTCCACATTATTACTTCATGTTACAGTAAACTCACCAAAAAAAGCTATTTGAATCAAGACTTGTAAACCAACTATTGTGCTTAACAAATCACACTTGCATTCTTTGCTTTAGCAGTGCTCTACTGTCTGGTGCTTAAACGTGTCCTTTCTTATCCTTCAGGGTTTAGCAGCAGAAGAATCAGAGCTGCGGTTCCGACAGCTGACAAAGGAATACCAGGCCCTGCAGAGAGCATACGCACTACTGCAGGAGCAGACGGGGGGCATCATAGATGCTGAAAGAGAAGCCAAGGTCAGTATCTGAGGGTAAAAGCATTTGATTCCTAACAGAACACACATGCAACATCCATACAACTGACAAAGAGAGTGACTGTTAAGAATGGACACAATTACTAGGTTTACATGGGACTGTCCTCCACCTGAACCTGAAAACTGCAGTTAGGCAGGCATGCCAAAACAGGCAATTCTGCAGTTTGGCACCAGGTCACAAGGGTATTCTCATCAAAAGATGGTGTGAAGGGGTTGGGTTTTCCACTAAATGGAGCCCTGTGAGCTTTCAGATAGTCACCTGAATGTTTCTAACAAAGAAATGCAAATCGCATTCAAATTTGAATGTGGTGCAGACTACTGTAAATCTTCCAAGTCTAAAAATGTTGTTCCTCTAATAAAATCATAGAATCATTCAGACCTCAGGCGGTCTGCAGCCCTAAATCCTGCTAAAAGCAGTGTCAGCTGTGAGATGGCATCAGGCTGTTCAGCATGTTGGTGGGTTGGCTTTTGAAGCTGCCCCAGGCAGTTACAGTTGATGCTTTCCATTACCTTTGTCCTGCTCCTATCCTACTAAGCACTTTTCTTCAGTTCAGGGACTGCCCCTTACAAGGGTCTTTGAGCAAAGCCTGTCACCCCAAATACCTAAGCTTGTGTTTCACTACTGTAATGCAGTACACAGTAGTAACAGGCTTGGGTGGAGAGAGGAGCTGATTTGCCACGGTTTCCTTGTGTCATCTGTACCCCAAGCTGTGGGGTGGCACAAAACACTGCTGAGCTAGAATCTCTGTAACAGTCAGTGGAAGCAACAGCATGAACCAAGACCCTGCTGTGTTTGATTTCCTTTTAGTACCAGTCACATTGCTTGTTTTGTATTATTTAATGCTGTGCCTGACTTCAACAGGCTCAGGAGCAGCTCCAAGCTGAAGTCCAGAGGTATAAAGCTAAAATAGAAGATCTGGAGAAAACTTTAGCACAGAAAGGGCAGGTAAGCACTTCTTGTGTGTATTTTCTTTTCCTACTTCGGATCTTACCTGCTCTGCTCACAAAATACCTGGCACGATTTCAGTAGATTTGCATGAGATGTAATGTTGCTGTTCAGTAAACAGGCAGGTCTAATGAGTTCAAAAGCCTTAGTACAGCTTGGTAGAACAATACATTGTTCTGTAAATGGCGGTTTGTTCCTCTAGGATTTTAAAGCCTGAATATTGTGGCTCCAATTTTCATTAACCTTGTGGAGTTTGATTATTTTGTAATAGTACTGCTTCATCCAACAGGACTCGCACTGGGTGGAGGACAAACAGCTTTTCATTAAAAGAAACCAAGAGCTTTTAGACAAGGTATGTTCCCAAGTTTTGTGTGTTCACTTTGAAATGTAATCTGGATCCTGCAATACACTTTTTGGACATGCAGTGTGGTGCTTATATGTGTAGTATAAGGACAGAACAGCATAGATTAACACGGATAGGATGACATACAGAAAGATGAGCCCTCTTCAGCTTTACTTAGGCACCCTCATGGCTGGCAGTTGCTGATGCACCAACTGTGCTGGTAAGCATCAGCCTGAGGGCTGGAAGCTCTATTCAGTTTTTGAATTGGAGGTGCAGACCTTTGTGTTCCAGTAGCATTGCACTAAAGAGTCTGCTACTGCCCTGGCAGGATGTTTTGAGCTTAGCTTCTGGTGTGAAACATCAGTAAAAGTGGTCACCCTCTAACACCAGGACCCTTTCATAGGCCTAGTCCTTGTGCGTCATCTATATTTTTAAAGCCTTAAAGTCATCCTAAGTCTAATGGAATTTGTATGGCTCAGCCCCTTGGTGTATTTAGGAATACTGTTTGTTTGTGTGTGTGTGTGTGTACTTGTATCTATATATTTATAATAATAGAATATACGGATATGAAGGACCTCAACATTGCTTGCATATCACCAAGAGTAACAGCAGTGGCAATACATATGACTGCCATCAGGAAGAGGCCAGAACTCCCAGCACCAGGTCTCCTGCTGGCTTTTATCTCCCCAGATGAGATTTCTTTGCTTGTGTTCATCCACTTCTGTAAACACCCCTAATAATCTTCCAGCCCTCGGCTGTTCTTCCCCATCCAGACAAACTGACCCATGGGGGCACATTTGACCTGGGTCTTAGCATGCTCCCTAGCTTTTGTCTAAGGCCCTACTCAGGCAACCTGATTGCAAAATACATGTTCTGGCACTAGCTGGAGACTTGCAAAAGAGAGCAGGCTGAGGAGCTAGTGGTGGATTTGTCCACAGCAAGCAAGCTATAGACAGTTGGTGAATGGGTGGTGTTTAAGTTCATCTGCTAACAGAACTCCTTGTGTGGAGATGCTTGCTGTGCAGTTCACATGAGCACTTGCATGGGGAGGGATGGCTGCTCAGGTAGCTGCCTCCACAGAGGCAGCTCTCCCTGCATGCCATCTGTGCTTCAGGTGCTACACACTGGGAATGTCTGATCTAGCCTGAGTTCTCCAAGGTAGGTGTTTCTGACAGATATTTATCCATCATCTTCCCATAGCCCCTCAATAATGATGTCTCCACATCCCTCCCCAAACAATCTATTCTAGTGTTTTGCCATGAGAGCAGTGTGTTTAACAGCTGATGCAGATTAACCTGATAGCTAACCTGACACCTCTGTAGAGTTAGCTTCCCTGCTGATCTTCACTAGGATTAGACCCTTTTAGGGAAATTTCCAGCCTAAGCATTTTATGATATTTAGGAAGTTGATGAGCAGAAGTTCACCTGTAAACTAAAGATTCACTGAGGTAAAACAGCAAGTAGTGAATCGTCTCTAGAGTTTGGATTTTGCACTGCCTATGCTACCTCAGCTGCCACTCACCAAATGTTCAATATTTCTTGTAACAGTCACACAGATCCTAAACTTACATGTTTCTATTAGATAGAGAAACTGGAAGGAGAAAACAACCGCCTGCAACAGGAGCTTCAGGATGCCCGAGACCAGAATGAGCTGCTGGAGTTCCGCAACCTCGAGCTGGAGGTGATGGATGGGGTCATTATAGTAGAGCTGGTAGCGAGTTAAACTACTGCACTTGCACTGGGAACCAGTTTTAACCAAGTGTTTACACAGGCATTGTAGTGATACAACAGAGTAACAAATCAGGGCCAGCATTTTTAATTGTGAGCTGAAGTATGCCAGCCCTAATACCTTGGAAACCTCTCTGAGTGAGGTGCCCAGTGTCCATAGATAAGCTTAGCTGGTTAATGTCAGTGTGGCTCTTAGTTACCACACCTGCAGATACAGCTTTTCTAGCACTTTGGAGCAGTCTCTTTGTTCTTATTGCTGGCCTGAAGTCTACCAAAATGAACAGAAATTAATTACATTTGAATTAACTAAGTAAGCAAGTGTTAAACCCCATCCTCACGTGCTTTGCTCAGGGCTGTATCCTGGTTCACAGCTAAGATCTCTCCCGTGAGTAGGTACCCAGGGTTTTGTGTGGAATTGTTGTTTGGTTGGTTTTGGGGGCTCTTTTTTGTTTTGTTTTTGTTTTCATGAACCTGAGCAGGTCTTGGAGGAGAAAGAAATGTTGAGTGTACTTTTCTCTCTAAAGAAAAGAGTGAAGAGTGTTCCTCTGAGAAGTCAGAGATGCAGGTGCAATTCCTTCCTCAGGGTGAGGAGAAGTGCACCTCTCCAGCCTTTGCTTGAAGGAGAGGAATTGTTTGAAGTTCAGTTCAGCAATGATCGATGAAATTGCATAAGCAGTTGTAAGAGAAAGTGTCAGACCCAGGGCTGTTGTCTTATGGGGGTGAAAGGTTTGTACCTTGTGCCCTCTGACCCAGAGAATTTTGAACACTTTTCACTGTGGGACCTTGGCTGTGAGAGGCGCCGGGGCCTGTCCTCCCCAGACCGATGTGTTCCCGGGAGTTAGAGCACTCTTCATTGCAGAGGAGCAGTGTGCGTGTCAGATGCCGTGGGGAAGGGATGAAGCCAGGCCCGCGGCAGCCTGCAGCGAGCTGCTCCGGCTCTGCGGGGGGATCGGTGGATCCCCGGTGCTGCTGGAGCTGCTGCCCTGCTGTGAGACCTGGGCTCAGAGGGCGCGCAGAGCTCAGGTGCCCAAGGGACAAGGCTGTGCAATGGCCCCTGTGCTGCTGACTCCTGAGGCACGCGTAGATCTGATCTCTGTACCTCAGTTCCCTGCCGCTGTGGTGGGGATAGGAGACGTTTTATACAGGTGAAGGTGGTCTTGCTCCTGTGGCCTTTATCATCATGCTTGCCAGTGCTGGCTCGTGAGAAAAGCCAGCAGTGCCTGCCTATGGGCACAGGGTGCTTGGCCTAGAGCTCTCCTCATTTGTGTCTAGAGGCTGTCGGCCCTCGCACGCCTGTCCACCCACTGTCCCTGCCGGTTCCTTGTTGAGCAGCTTTCCTCATGACCCGCATTAGGGAAGAAAGGCCCCTCAGGTGACTCTGGAGATCAGTGGAGGAGCTACAGAAGCCTCTGCAGGTGGCCAGAGGACTGTGCTAGACCTTGAGCTCCCTCTTCCTGTCTGCCCCTTGTTATAGGAGTGCTAACAGACAAAAACTTCCATCTGCTTTTTCTCCAGTATGAGCTGGTTTATTTCTCAGTTGCTCTTTGCAGCTGCTGTCCAAAGCCTTACACACTTGCCATTCAGAGCTTGAAGGTAACACAGGGCCTTTCCTGGCTCTCATGGTTCAGTGCTGGGACAGATTTGTCCCTTATTTATAGATCTTTCCCAGTTTTACCTGACAGCTCTGTTCTATGACGTGGAATGGGACTGACCAAGTGAATTACATAAACCAAGAATATATTTGAAATTTGATTTTCACTGCTGTGCTTCCCTGAGTACTTGAAAGGGATGAGAAATAACATCTTCCAATTTTATTTTTGTCTTTGGTCCCTTAAGACAGGACAAATACCTGTCAATTTTGTGCAATGAGGGTGTATAAACAGCTGATTTGATCAGCTTGTTTGAACTTACTGCTTTCCACGGATACTAGAACACACAGCATACCAGGACAAGCAGATGTGTAATTGGAGTATCCTAGCAGTCTTAAGTCAAATACCTGTTTCTAAAGGCAGTATTTACAACAGTATATAGTTGTTCAGTACCTCACTAGGCGAGTGACTTGAGTCTTAGCAGGTGACAGCCTTTCCCCACCCAATTTGCTAATTGATATAATTAATCAATCAATAATCTCCTGTAAGAGAATTAACCTGGATTCAGGATCCCATCCCACTTGGCACCCTGTTTTTCAGACTAGGTCTAAATGTTTCTATCTTTGACTTGGAGCTTGGCTTTGCAAAGCATGATGTAGTAGCTATGGCATTTAACGAGCTCTGTGTCTATCTCCTTTGTTCTAACATGTTCTCTGTCATCTTTTCAATTGATTTTCAGGAAAGAGAGAGACGGTCCCCACCATTTAATCTCCAGATTCACCCATTCTCAGATGGTGTGAGTGCTCTACAGATCTACTGCATGAAGGAAGGGGTTAAGGTAGGTCAGTTTTATAAGGCAGCACTTCTCATTACAGGAGTGGTGCCCATGTAACCCATTATATTGATGTCTGCCAATAACTCCAGTAAATTTTAAACATTTACACTCAGTCTACAGTGAGTGTGTGATGACTGACACAGTTGAACTGGACTCACAATTTTCACCATAATGACAAAACCTGGCTCAGAGGTAATTGAAATCAGTGTGTGATGCATTTCCATGGGATAAAACAAAATGGTTGATTTAAACATGGATTGTAGGAGGGACGAATACCGCAGCTGTGATAAAACGTGCATTCTGTGCCTATACCTTATTCTCTTTTTGCAGGATGTCAGCATCCCAGACCTCATAAAGCAGTTAGACATCCTAGGTGATAACGGAGTAAGTTAAAGTCAGAGATATTTTCCTTTTACAAGCTGCATTTTGTACATGAGTGTAATTGAGATCTATAATTATCATGACTATTTTCTAAGATACTTGTTAAATTATGCAGCATCAGAACAATTAATTTAAGGAGTTATTATTTCTGTAAGTTATGGGTTTGTGAGAGTTCAAAAGTCAGAGGCCTAGTAACGAAGCAGCAGCTTCAGCATCTGGTTTAGCAGACTGGGAGACTGTCCAAAGGCCACATACTGGGAACTGGGCCTGACTGAATTCCAGTCATTCAGGAAAGCACATGAATTCGTTTGGCAGTTTCAGCCAACCAATCTTCATCAGGACTAGGATTCCTCTGCATATAGTTTCATAAATAGGCAAGAGTTATCAAATCCCTCATGGTTTTCTAAGTGGACATTGCTGTCTGCTTTAGTTATCTGTGTAAGAGATCATCTTGTATCTCTGGCCAATCTTAGGTATGTTTTAAGAAAGTGAAATAAAAACGAAGGCTCATGATTGTCTGTTCACGTGCTGGTGTAAATCAGCATTGTCTTTAGAAAAGCGTTAATGGAAATTCAGCTTTGTAAAACTAGCAGGAGGAAAGACAAACGGGTCTAATTTTAGTTTAGATTTCTCTTAAGACGCAGTGGAATGAAAACATATAGTTAGTCCGTATCATGCCGGTAGACAAAAGCAGTCTTCTTTTTAATATGTTAACAGACTGATGGGCTTATGGGATACCCAGTACTAGAGGGATCCCCTGAAAATGGTAGACCTAATGTATCACCTAGATTATCTTTATTCATAAAGGAAACTGCCGCCAATTTTCTTATTCCCTCTCTTTCCCTACTCAGAATTTGAGAAATGAAGAACAAGTGGCCATAATCCAGGCCTCCACTGTGTTGTCCTTGGCAGAAAAGGTAAACTGTGTGCTTGCTTTTCTCATTTGTCATCTAAGGCCTCATATAACACTGGAAATGTTCTGCTCTGTTGTTGTCAATATTGTCAAACTTTCTAGTGTAGGAAGTGATCCCCAGATGAAGTAAACTGTGCCAGCATGGTCCCAAACACCTGCTAAAGCAGCAAAACCACCAAACTCAGCTGGCCCAAGCTGTGAAGTCACAACAAATGCAAATAAAAAAAGAATGTCTAATGAAACTTGCAAATGTAAACTGAATGAGAAACCATCGGACATTGAAGCTGCAGTTAGTCATAGCATGGGATCTCTAGTCCTGACATTTCCAAAGCTTCTGAAGGGATCTGTATACAACATTTCCACTGTAAGTATGTGCCTAAGTTCCTTGGTTTGGAAATGAAAAAGAAAGTGAGGATTGGTTAAAATTGATTTCTGTGGCACAAATGCAGTACACTATTTTGTCAACATGACAGCTTCCAAGGATTCTAGTCAACAATTCCTTCTCTGTAAAAGGAATGGCCATCTACCCAGCTAAGCTATTTTTAAGATAGTTTTGAAGAGGCACTGGCACAGGGTGCCCAGGGAAGTTGTGAATGCTCCATCCCTGGCAGTGTTCAAGGCCAGGTTGGACAGAGCCTTGGGCGGCACGGTCTAGTGTGAGGTGTCCCTGTCCATGGCAGGGGGGTGGAACTGGATGATCTTAAGGTCCTTTCTACCCTAACCATTCTATGATTCTGTAAGCTGCTAGAGCCTCGTCGTGGGCCCTTATCCATGGGATGAAATGGGTTTCTTGTCCATCCAAGGAAGTGTGCTTTTCCGTCTTCCAGCAATCTGGTAATGGTGATCCTGTTGCTGCTTCTCTGTCAAGGGCTGCCTACAGACACTGTGGCTGCCCCTGTCACACAAGAACAGCCTCAGGATGGGCCTAAACTAGCAATAGGTTACTAAGAATAGACTAACAAGATACTGTAGATGTCCCACTTGCCACTGCTCATGTGCCCAGAAGACACAGCAGGCTACAGCTCTCATTGTCTTTCCTCCAGTGGATCCAGCAGATTGAGGGAGCTGAAGCTGCTCTGCATCAGAAGATGATGGAACTGGAAAGTGATATGGTAAGCAAACTTTCCCCAATACACATTTTAGGGACAAGGTACTGAGTGTGTCACATTCATTTGGTATGCCAAAAGAGAACTAAAAAGGTCTTTTGGCAAATTAGGTATGTAGTCTTCTTCTGATGAATTCATGAGGTTGTTACTGGTCTGGTTCAGAAACAGAAGTAATGAAGGTTTGAAAACTTTCTATTTCCATGTGGATGACTGTTTAAAAGTACAGAGGACTAGAAGGTTGCTCAGTGATTTTTCAGAAATGAAAATGACTGCACCCTTTGTCTCATAAGATTCACACTCTAAACATCAGCTGTTGTATCACATTCTATTAAACACCAGTATATGGGAAAGTAGTGAATTATTACACTGTTTTCTTTCATTACATTTTAAGCCTATACCATCCTAAAGGTAAAACATTCACAGCTGAACTGAAGTTGCTATAGCACCAGTAAAGTTAGTACCTTACTCTGTTCTTATTCTAGTTAACATACAAGATAAACAAGCATAACTACAAGAGTTGGATAGCTGTAGTGGTTTACATTCTCTTCCTGCGGTTTGTCTGTACTCGAGTCAATTCAGCTTAAGGTAGGCTGAGAAGTTAAAGCAGAGCAGCTTCCCCCAGATAATGTGAACATAAATACTCTTGTTTAGCTTATTACACTTTCATACTTCTAGAATAAGAGAAAGCACAAAAGGAGTTGTCCATGATGCCAGAAGACGTAACTTTAGAGAAACTGTACAGAAACCCTAAAATTACATTACTGAAATGCAAAGCAATATCACTGAAGTCAACCAAGAGATGATGTTCCATGTAGATCAGATGTATTATCTTACACAAGTGGCCCGCAGCTATTTTCCCTTCCTTCTTTTCTAGCTCAGATATTAATAACTCTGCAGAGTGTCATCTGACGACCAGTCTCTAATCCTGCCTGAGTCAGATAATTGTAGTTGATTGTATAAAAGTTCTCCAAATATTTGGAGTAACTCATTAATTTTTCTGTCTACATGATCCTTCATTGTAGGAGCAGTTTTGCAAAATAAAAGGTTATTTGGAGGAAGAACTGGACTACAGGAAGCAGGCTCTTGACCAGGCATACATGGTATGTACAAAGGGGATTCTACAGCATATATTGGCCAGCGCTGTGAAAGGACACAGACTCCTGCTGGATCAGCAAGAGAGTTTTTTCTTTTTTCCTAGCATTTTTTTTTAATTTTTATTTTTCCCTTTCTTCTAATGCTCTGCCGTGCAGTCTGCACAGTCACCACGGCATCTGCCTTTTTCTTGTCACAGAAAGGCAGGTCTCCTGAAATCTGAAACGTTTTTGTCAGTTAAAGGCAAATATTGCTCATTAACGTCAGCTTGTCCAGCTGGAGTCAGTGCAACCAACTGGAACTCAGATCTGGAATGAGAATGCTCCTTGATTAGCAGCATTAAGACCAAAGTAGTCTGACAGTGACCTTCAGTCTTCCCTCCTGTTTTTTAGCACAGTGGGTCAGAATTTTAGAATTGGTGATATATTCATCCTTATAGGCAGGAAAAATACGACTCATATCTCTGTAACTGCTTAAAAAAAAAAATAAAAGTGTAAAAGTTAGGGATTTCAGTGAAAATTATATGAAAAGATTTTAAAAATAAAAGTTCATATCTTGTTGTCAAAATGCTGAACCATTTTGAGTTCTGTTTTCCACATTTTTTGCACACTTGAGCACAGAGCCCACCTCTCATGCAGGTGCCTGAATCTGCCACCAAGTCCACAATTCCCACTGTGTTTTAAACAATGTTTCATCTCTAATTGGCTTTTGGTATTGCATCAACCAGAGGATCCAGGAGCTTGAAGCCACCTTGTACAATGCTTTGCAGCAAGAAACAGTGATAAAGTTTGGGGAACTACTGACTGAAAAACAGCAGGAAGAGCTGAGGACAGCAGTAGAAAAGCTAAGACGTCAGATGCTGAGGAAAAGCAGAGAATATGATTGTCAGATTCTTCAGGAGAGGATGGAACTGCTCCAGCAGGCTCATCAGGTAAGAAAAAGGAACCATGTACATGTGTATCTACTCAGATTCGCTGTGTAAGAACATCAGCTGAGGTGAAATTTAGGCAAGCTCCAGGTCATGAGGGAGCCTGGCATCTAGTTTTTTTAGTTAATATTAATGTCCAGCATTTGAGGATACAGTCACATATTTGCAGTAGCATGTTTTGAGCAGTTGTACACATGGTAAAGACATGGTTGGGCAAGGTTGGTGGATGGGGTCGTGGTACTTCACAAGATTAACTCTGCTAGAGAAATGCATTTGTTAATTTCCAGGCTCTTGGCACTCGGAAGGTTAAGTTATTACTTCAGCAGAGCAGATTTACAGAGAATTCAGTCTAGATGCTTTCTTTTCTGATTTTTAGAGGATCCGAGATTTAGAAGATAAAACTGACATCCAGAAGAGACAAATTAAGGATCTGGAGGAAAAGGTTGGTTCTGTTACGCTTCTGAACCACGCTGAGCAACTTTTTGGAACATGATGACCTAGTTCTTGTGAATTACACAAGCTTTCTGTTACGCTGAATCAGCTGGATCTCTTGGTGCTGTTCTACTATGCTTTCTTTTCAGTTTGTATATTCAGACTATAATCTTAAGAGTCCCCTCTGCAATATTTCATTTTAGGAAATATATGCCAAGCACTTTTAATTATGGTGAATGATAAAGGCAAACAAGGAAGCCTTTACTTGGCTGTTAAATGCTGTGTTGGTAGACAGGCAATGCTTCCATCAAAGGCCAGGTGAGGCTAGCGAGCAGGAAGGACTGAATGAAACCAAGTGAAAATGATTCTTATCTGGCTTGACTATAGAACTCAGGTTCTGATGCTGTCCTTTTTACTGAAGCTTGTAATTACTATGTGACATAAATATAGCACTAGAATCTTGTCCTTAAACTAAACTGCCAAAGAACTATATATGCACGTTCTTTATATGTAATACATATATACACACATACTCTGTCAAAATACGCACTGCGTTTTTTTTTTTCAGTGAATAAGGCCAACTCTGTCACATTGACACATTTTTCTACTTGTAGCTAGGTTAGATGGGGTTGCTGAAAAAAGGTTATAGCAGAGTGTGCTGCTATCAAGAATGTCTTTTCTAGAAATGCCAGACTCGTGTAAAATGCATCTCTGGTGGTGGCCTTGATGATGTACTTCTATTAATAAATACCAACATCCATGTGTGAAACAGCATATGAAATAATGGCTCTATTTGTATAATGGCAGCAGTGCTAACAAGCCCTTTCAGTTTGTATGTATGTTCCTAAAGTGAAACAAGTGGGCATAGTGCAAAACTTGATACACATAATTCTTTCTGCTTTTCTACCAGTGTTTTTGTGATATAAGGACTCTGTGTCTGTCTTTCTAACATATGTAACTTGGAAAAATAACAGATGATAATCTTTGATGAAAATAAAAAAGCAAAGCAGAACTTATGCCATAGTCAAATGGAGACCTTAGATAGGAGACATTTTAATGTCAATTTTCAACTCACAAAAATTTGCATCTCTGAAGATAACACATTCATTATTAAAATGAGACATCAAAAAATTTATTATTAAACATTTAATTCTTAGGGTTTGATATTATGTGTGTGTATGTGTGTGTATATATATATATATACATATATATGGATATAGATATTCCCGGGCTATTTCCAGCATGGATTGATGGCAGTTTTTTAATGCACGTAAAAATACTACCTATGCTATTTCTGATATCTAGCTTTGTTGACTTAAGTCAACCCATCATAGTTCATCGTGGCAGTTTTACCTCAGGCTTTCAATATGGTGCCAATTCTAATTGATCACAAAAATTAATGGGATCAGTTTTCTAAACCTGAGAGGTGGTATGGTACCTACAGAAGTAACTAGGGAAATAGTGTTTTCCAAATGCATAGTCACTCTAGTTGTCCTAGAGAGTGCAAAAGTAATTCTGACGCTTACAATGCCATGACCTTTAGTTCTTACACAATCTTCTTTTTCTTCTGCAGTTTCTATTTCTATTCTTGTTCTTCTCTCTTGCCTTTATTCTTTGGCCTTGATGTCAATGTGCCTCTTGGAAAGGTAAGACTATTTTCTTTATTTCCTCCAAGATGGTGCTTCTTGCATAGAGCTGAGGATCACATCCATGTGTGCTTTTGTGTATGTCTGGAGTCAGAGAATTCAGCAGGTTGTCAATTTGTGACAGTTCACAATGGAGAGTCATCACACTTCTGAGTTGCCACAGGGAGTTGCAGTCAGACCAGCACCATCCAGCACACTTGTTAACAATGGCCAGTGCCATTATGTAGCTGCTGCTATTTGAAACATACTGCCTTGATCCAGTGGACATTAAATGGACTAAGTTAAGACTGCATACTTACTAATGTTCCTGCCGCAGGGTTTCTGGAAACCATAACACAGCACAGCCTCTGTGAGATGCTCTTGAGTGGCCATGACTGGTGAAATTTTGATTTTACAGCTTCTTGCTTATTCACTGTGGGGAAAAAGATCAGAAAGTCTGAAATAGTATAGGCTAGTCTTAAGGAGCCACAGTAACAAGTAAATTTATCTGACTGTCTTTTCCTGTAACAGACAATCATGAATCCAGAACAAGCTGCCAGCCTAAAGAGAGAGTCAGAAAAACAAAGAAAATAGGCTGCCCCATCCCTGGCAGTGTTCAAGGCCAGGCTGGATGGGGCTTGGAGCAGCCTGCTCCAGTGGAAGATGTCCCTGCCCGTGGCTGAGGTTTGGAACTGGATGATCTTTAAGGTCTCTTCCAACTCAAACCATTCTATAGCTCTGTGATTAAAACCAAACAAACTTGGATTTTAAGGTGCATCTTGAAAACTCACAGGAACTGACAGTGACATTTGCAAGAACCTGTCTGCACGAGTGTCTGCAATTGCCTATACTGTTGTCCTCCTTTTAGTTTATACCACAGCTATGATAAAATCCTTTTGAAGCAAATGAGAAAAACTAGGGCAATGAGAGGTTCAGGATTTTCTGTACATAAAGTTTTCACCTATATTTTCAACCTTTATGGGTATGGAATATTTTTTCTATTGAGTATTTGCCTCTCATTCATGTGAATTTGAATTCACTCTGTGTTTTTTACCATGTAGGCTTGAATGCTGAGAGAATACAGAAAAAATATGGCCTTTTTTCCCTGGTTTCAAACCTGAGAACCATAATTCTTTTCCGTATGTAGGGAAGGCTTCCTTGGAGCAGTCTGTGCCTGCCTCACTGCTGCATTAGCCAAGGCTCTGGGGTTGCCCTGACACCACAAGCATACCACCCACTGTCATGTCTCCTTTCACTGGTGAATTTTAGGCAGTTTTGGTTCAAGAGTTACTGAAACTGGTGCGTAAATATTCATCTGAAGATGCCCATGGGGGCTTTTATGGACGAGAGGGCTGTACATTAGGGTTAGGGTTAAATGGACAGGCTTGGCAAAATACTCAGAATTTTCACAAATGCCTTTCATATGGACAAACAAAAACAGTTTAATGCTGACAACTGTAAGAACAGACCTTTTCAGCTTTGACTGATAGCTGCGTCTGGTCAAGGGTGGGGAGGTGGAGGAACTTCTCACTTGGCTGATACAGATGTTCTTTATTTTATTTTCAGAGTGCCCGACCACAGCTCAGTCCATATAAAGGCAAATGCTTCCACCCCCTGATGAAGAGAACATTGTTTACACCTATTTTAAAAAGTATAACATTGAACAACCTGTAGCCAAGACTGCAACCACCTTGTATTTTAAAGCCATCACTCAAGATTTGTTACTTGACAGTTCCTTTCTAAAGCTATGATATATGCTGCATCTAATGAAATTCTACATGTTGAAATTGGAAAAGGGGAAGAAAAACAAACTGTGAACCTACATCACTTGGGAAGAACTTAACGGGAAGGAACCACTTTCAGCTGATCAAGTCAGTGTGTCTTGGGCATGGAACCAAAGTTACAACAGAAAAACCTATCCCTGCTGTGCAGGGCAATCATTTAAATGTGAGAGCGTTGTACCACGAACAGATCAAAAGTTGACAGGGCAGAAGAAACATGAGCCATGGAGAGATGCTGACAACAAAGCGCTCAGTGTGAACTGTCTGGCTTTCTCACTGTAGGGACTCCTCCTCTCTTTGGTTTTAACCTCAGGAACAAATGACGGCTGTGATGTGGGGGAAGAACGGAAAAATGCAGTGTGATTTAACACAGGATGGGCAGGACAGGGCACCACAGTTTGCACTTGAGACCATAAAAGAGCACCACCCTACTCAGCAAAAGAAGGGAAGAAGAGGGTGTCTGGCATAAGGAGGATTTCTGATGGAGTTCCAGCCTTCTCTCTCTTCACTCTCCCTCCAGGAAGAACAGCCTGTCTGTTGTCAGACACTTTTCATACTCTATTTAGAGACGGCCATTGAGATAATAATGACTGTACTTGGTTTTACTATTTGAATAATACACTGAGGATCACTGGATTGGACCTGCAGAGTAGCTTCTGAGAAAGAAAAAAAGTGTTGGAGGGTGGAGGAGGGAAAAGTCCATGTGGTACAATCGACAATGCAGCAGCTTCCAACTGTGTGGTCCCAGCTTGGAACATATGTTTTGGTTTAGCTTGTCAAACTGATTTTGTTAGCTGGCTTCCTGATCAGTGACACATAAACCAAAACTGGGGACAAGCTGTGTGAACACGTCTTATTAAGTCAAAAGTATCGCTAGTCTTTATAGATTTTTCCACAGCTAAGGACCAGTATGAGTAGTTTGCATTTCAAAGCATTACTTCCCCTTCTAACCACAAAGCTTGGAGCCCAGTCCTGGTGTCTCCCCGAGGTCTCACAGGTCCGTGCTGTGCAGTCAGGAGCATCACACATGCAGCCGGCATGGTGAGGTCCTGCACCCCACGAGCACTGCTGTGCTGAATGGAAAGTACTGAACAGGGCACTTCTCTGTGCCACTGTTTCCATCGCCCTGCAAATGGAGTCGTACCTGTTTAGACTTTGGGTTCCTGTGGCAAGGCTCCTTTTTAAGTTGTCTTCCACGATTGAGCCTTACTTTTTTCACTGAGAGAAATGGATGTCCGTATTACAAAATAGAAAACTGAGGGCCAGAATACAGCCTGCGCATTACTTAAACCTTCAAAATAGGCCTCAAGTGTACCAACACTTTACGCACACACCAGAAGCTTTAAAAGTGCTTTTATAAACAGTCTGTCCTTTGCTTGTTTATTTCTACAGATGAAGCAACTGAGGCACAAAGCAGTGAAGTAACTTGCCACAGCAACTTCAGCAGGTCAGAAGCAGCTCCTTAGCTACAGCAGAGATGAAGTTCCTTTAGTATTGAGGGGTGCCTGCTCCTTGCAGGTATTTGTTGGCCAGAATAGCTTTTATTCATTAATGTCCATTCACCCAACTGGGTTGCAATGCTGGGCTCCATTTCTCCACAAAGATTCTTACCATCCTCATTTCTTGCATGCCCTGAGATTGAGTTAAGCCTTCCATCAAACACTAGAAGCTATTTAGCAAGTGAGATTTTCCTGCTCCTTAAAATTAATTTAAATTATGGAATGACCACATCTTCCTTAAGCAGTCTGTTTCAGCCAAGGGGTTTACTGAATTCTGCACCAGCTGTATGTTGGTTGGTTCATTTTTTTAAGACAGGCTTTTAGGCAGGTATGTTAAATGAATATAGGTATGTTGCATGCTCTTTGTTCAAACTCTTTCCCCCAGAAGAATCTGTGGTTAAAGTTGTCCCAAACCTACATGTGCTTTCCAAGAGTGCTGATAGCAGTTCAGTCCTGAAGCTCTGGAGTCAGCCCGTTTGGAAGTCTCATCCACACACGTGACACCTTTAGATCACTGAGCAACTTCACAACATCTTATTAGCTACAAATGAGAGTTTCCTCTCTGGTTATTCTCTCTAGCACCTCTCACTGTTTGTTTTCCCCTGTTGCAGTCCATTGTTCCAGTTGGCTGCAGTGTCCTGCAAGGTGAAACAGGCTGTGGAAGTTCTTTGCCCTAGCATTAGGACCGGCAATGAAACCATTGAGCTCTTCCTGTAGAATGAGCAGCGCCTGTGTTCTGTGACAGCAAAAGCTTCCACCTCTGCTTGGTTGAAAAAGAACAAAACAAAAGGAGGATTACAAAAGTTTGTTTCAGGCACTCATGAGGAAGGGTCCTGGCAGATAGAAATCCCATGTTTCTGGACACACTGACTGATCTTGCGGCAGGCTTCATCAGTTAGGCCCTCTGAACTGTGCTGTGCACATTTTCAGTTACTTTTTTTTTTGCCTAATTTCCTCTCCTTCACTCTTCTGCACACGTGCACCTGCAGGTGCTATGTTCCAAGGGCTCCAGGTGGCTGGGAGTGGTATCAGTCCACAGCTTATCTTGGTCTGCAGATTTGTAAACAATTGAGTGTTCCCGCCAGAGAGCCTTGCAGCTGCTTTGCTCTGCTTGCAGGGTAACATAAGCCATGCCTAAAACACACTTGCTGATACTAGTAATACAAACCTTCTGCTATCAGCTAGATCAAAATGAGTTTGATGGTTTTGTGTATATATATACATGTATCTATATACAATATATATGTATATGTACATATATATACATACATATGCATTTATTCCCTATTGTATATAGTAAATCATTGATATAGCTTATGGAAGTGTACTTCCAATCTAGGTATGGGGAACTGAATCTAGACTTGTTTAGCTGCTACAACTGGGGCACTCCTCATGGTTTAGTTTTACAGCTCATGGGCAACTCGGTTTTGGATCTGTTTTTCTGAGATCTCACCCCTTCGATGTCCTGAAGCTGTTTATCCAGGACTTTCTGCTGCTCCTGGTACTCACTGAGGCAAAGTATTGAGAATCATCCCTGAAATCTCTCACTGCAGTCAACCCTCCCCAGACCAACCAACAAAATGAAAACCGATTTATTGCAGCTTTTGAGGACAGCAAATGGAGCCCTGGATTCCTCCCCCCGCCCCCATCCATCCATCCTGGCCCGTGGCAGGAGTTACTCCAGGCTATCCATGTGGTCACAGGAGCCATGTAGCGCAAGTCAGCTTGACCAAAATCTGAGTTGCTGCTTTTTCTCCACTGACTAAGGAGATTTTCAAGACTCTTGTTTCAACTTTAAGCATTCCAGATGAGAGCCCAGTGAGGTGAGATGGATTTAGGCACTGCAGGTCACAGGAGGCTTCTTGCACTGTGACCAGCCTGCCTCCCACCTCCATCCTCTCTTACTGACTGCGGGGACACCGTGGAGACTTTTCTGTAGGTGTTCCCCATTTGCCAGCTCCCTGCCCTCATCTCAGTAGGAAACACCCTCTGCCCCCCCCGAAGCTTCCTGGGCAGGCCAGGCTCTCCTGCTCCTTTGGGCAGGGCTCAGGAACAGCCACGCAGCTCCTGGCGATTCCAAGCGTTTTTCCTTTCCCTCCCATCAGCACCCAGGTGTTTTTTATGTACTTTTTGTCCCCATTTTTTTTTGTGTCTGTTCAGAACAGAATTGTAAATGACTTGGCAGAATGACCCTTTGATAAACACTGGACATGTATCTGTACTATATGTATTAACGTGTAGAAGAGAATCCTCATTGTATGTAAAGTTTTATGAATGGTTATTTTTTAATTTACGTATTTAATATAGGATTCAATGACCTCTGGTGTTTTAGTTTGTACAAAGAATAAAACAGCAGCGTTTTTACAAAACAAAATGCCACTTTACACTCCCGGAGCTCCCGGCGTCCGCCTCTTCTGTCCCGGGTACCGCCGCGAGCGGGGCGCGGCTGCGGGGCTGGGCCGCCACACCCGAAAGCGGATGCGCGGCGTGTGCTCGGCGTGTGAGGCGAGGGGAGAGGGCAGCGGGAGAGGAGCGGGCGCCGTGGGTCAGGGCGAGGGGCGCAGGGAGCGGCAGGCGCTGCCCCTCCGGCAACACCGGGAACGCTCAGGGCAGCTCCCGACCGGGAGCGCTGCGGCCGCCGCCGCCCGTCACCGCCGCCGCGGCTTTACCCCGCGGGCTGCAAAGGGGCCGCGGCCCGGACGCTTCGTGGGCGGAGCTTGCGCTGCAGGGGCGGGGCGGAGGCAGTTCCCGGCTCCGAGCGGTGCCGTCGCCGGCCGCCAGGGGGCAGCGCCGCCCGCTGCCGCTCGTTCGCTGTTCAACGCCTCGGCCGCGCGGAGCGGGTCCCAGAGAGGGAGCTCGGGTTAGGTTCGGGTCGCTGCTGCTCACGCGTTCAGAGGCGTTCATGCCCACCCCCTGCACGGTGGCCTTCCGGTACTGAGTGAAGCAGAGGACGTGAGCCGAGCACCTCACCGCCTTTGGCCAGAAACCACGCAAGGGGCATTTAATATTAAACCCCACTAATTCAGCCTTAAGTCAAAGGGATCAGATACGGACGTTGAATAGATGTGTGCTACAGGCCCCTTGGAGTGAGCTTATCTGGTATGGGAGTGAAGCTGTCATGGGCAGGGCTGGGGTGCCCGCAGGTGTCTCGAGGTGGGTGATGCTCAAGAGACACGGGCAAGAGCAGGAACACACGCAGAAGATTGGCTGTGGGTGTCCTGGCTGTGCTGCTCCACCACTGCTCTAGTGCAGGAGCGTCCCGGGCTGTTCCCAGGGCACCGCTGGACGCTGTTTGCCCGTGGTGGAAGTGTTCTGTCCACTGCTTCTGGAGGCCTCCTGTGTGCAGTGTCACTGGTGAAGGGGCAGGGTGCAGTGGGACAGAAGAGGCTGCACTTGTGTCACTGCTCACACAAGAGGGGCCGCAGTGGCTCACCTGGCTGGGGCTGTGACCCTGAGGCAAAGATCCTCGTCACTACCTCTTTGTGGCAGCTGTGTCTGGGTAATGACTGATTCACCTGTGAGCATTTCAGATGTGAGCTCACAGCTGAAACCCATCAGTGCTGTCCGAGGGCCAGAAAAGGAGCTCAGTGCCACACTGAGAGTTGCACCTGCCTGAGAAGGGCAGCTCTGCTTCAGTGGGCTTTTTCATCTGGAAACCCCAGTGGGATGGAGGTTGTATGTGGGTGCTGCAGAAGTTCTGCAGCCCCTGCTTCCTACAGGATGTCTGTGAGCAGCCTCCTGCTGTTGTGTGGCAGTGGCAGCATGGCTGGGTCAGGCTTTGCAGAGCTTTCCTGAGTAAGGCAGTGGAGCACAGCCGTGCCCCCTGTATGGGATGAGAGGTGATGAGGCTGTTGCTGTGCATCACACAGCTCTCAGGCGAGGACACTGGGGCTGCCACGCTACTCTTGAAAATTGGTAATAAAATGACTGCTTTATTTCAGGCAGGGTGCTGCTTACAGCACCCGCATCAGGAAGTTCACAGGAAAGCTGCAGTGTAAGCGCCGAGCCTGTGCTGCTGCTGGTATAAGCCTGGAGATCTTTGCTGGAGGAATGAAGAACCAGTGCAGTGAAACTGGCATCCTGAACAGATACAACTCAGAATGGTAAGCCCAGGCGTCAGTGTATTTTAGGTCTGATTTAGCCCTTTCCTGTGCATGCGTGGAATGATGTACAATGGTAACCAGAATCAGGCTGCAGTTGTTTGGGCAGCCCTTGAGTGAGGCCTGTCCATTTTGTCCACTGTTTTGTCATTGAACAGGGCTGAGCTGTGCATCTGTCAGGGGCAGGCATGGCCAGCACTCATGGCTTGTGTGGAAAGAAGTTTGACTGCATTTTAAAAGGTTCCTGTGTTGTCTCTGCAGCCCATTTGGCTGGCAGTAGTTTTCCATTGTTTGAGAGATTTCTAAACATAGTAAAAGGCCTAGTAACTGGCAATGTGCCATCTGCTCTGGGTCGAGGGGGGCTGAGTCTGAACATGGCAGAAAAATACATTCCAAAGCCCCAGTTCTGCTTGGACAGAGGAGCATCCCACAGCTTGTGCCACACTGACAAGAGGCCATTGTGCAATGTCTGCTCTAGTGCCTGACCACCAAGTGACAGCCATGAACAGGCTGCTTTGCACAACAAAGAAAATCCTGTGGAAACCATTTTAGAAGCCTGGAGGAGGACTGAGACTAGAGATATAATGATTTCAGTGTGTACAACAGATGGAGACTTCAGAGCATGGAGCCACTTATCTATGGATTACAGACTCCCTAATTATAGACTGACACCATATCTGAGAGGCAGCATCAGCCAAAGGAGGGACAAAATCCAAAAGCCAGCCTTGACATTGACTATAATATTAATCCCAGTATGATCCTATCTTATTGACTCCTGGTCTTGGAGTAAATAAAAACCCATTACTCCTGCTACTTTCTTCCTGATTCTGTCCCAGTCGGTCGCACAACAAATGGTACACTGACACCTACAGATCCCACAGAAGTGGACCCTGGTATTTTCTCTAGCACTGCACTCAGCTGATATCTGTGAACCCTGGGACACAAGAACTAAAGCAATCAGCAATCAAGCAGGTGACTCCATCAACTCTTTTATTCCAGATCCCTAACCCTAAAACTGCACTTAATCCATGCTGTCTGCTATCCTGTGACATTTGTTATCTCCAGATTTACCTACGTGATAATGGCTGGGAGACAAAACAGCTTCAGCACAGATGAAACTGGAGGGCCCGGCTAGGCCCAGCAGTGCTTCAAGTCCAGAGTCCTGAGATGCAACACCCTCCTTGCTTCCTTTCGCACCCAAATTAACAATAACTGTTTGTGTACTTCTGGCCTTATCCTGTACCAAGCTATCTTGTAGAATGCAGAAATCAGCTGAGCTCCACAGCCATCACTCAACAAACAGCAGCCATAGTGTGGACCCCAATGCCGTACATTGCCCTCATTCCTCAACTGCCTCAGACACAGGAAAATCACTCACATTTGAGCCATGAGAGCCTAGCAGGAGCAGGAAACGCAAGCTCTTCGACTTTATTCTCTGGTGCACTGTCTATCCTCATGCCTTGGGGGCATCTCGTAAGATGTAAATGTAAGGCAATTGCAGAGACTAATAACAAAACCCTGGGATCTGGCAAGACGCAGCCATCAAATAGGTTTCCAGTGCCCCCAGCAAAGCCGCTGGCTCCAGCACTGACCCTCCCTTATGGCGTGCCTGAGCCCCGGGCTGTCTGGAAGCTGCTCGCTGCCGTGTACGCCGCGCCTTGGGCCTGGCGCTGCCTGGCCCCCGAGTGCCAGTGGCCGGGCAGCTCCTGCGCTGAGCCCTGCAGGGGATCGGGAGGAGCAGGTGGCTCTGACTGACCCCAGCCGGGCGCGGGACCGGGGCTCCAGGCTCTGCCCGGCAGGACGGGGCCGCCCGGTTCACGTTAACGTTCTCTCACCTGGAAGAGTCACAAACCCGTGACCTCAGCGCGGCTCTCACCTGGGGACGGCACCGGCAGGATGTCCCGTGTCCTCCCTGCAGTGCAGGTGAGAGAATGACTCATAAATGTCAGTGCAACTGACAAGTGCCACCGTGTTTCCTGTGGATGGGTTTTCCGCAGGTCCCTGTCTTGGTTAGTTAATAGCTTCACGAGGGTCTTCACCAAATGATCCTGACTTGGAGTTTACTCATGAAATATTTATGGAAAATTGAAATTGGACCTGCATAGTAATTATAAGTTCTGTCACACAGATCATATGTGTTTTATATCTGGATGGGATCATGTGTAACAAGCCAAAAGGAAGCTCAAGCTTCACACTATTTTTATGACTGCTTTACTTTATCTGTTATACTTTATGGTTCACAGATTAAAATTCACATAAGTATCAACACTAAAAATGCTTTAGGTGAAAGTCTTAGGCTACTCAGGCTTGTAGTTCACTGTGGTTTAATACACGTTCTCCTTGATACTTCAGAAAAGCAAACAAAAAAGAACATGGTTTAGTAAAAGCAATCATGAACTAAGATAAGTATTTAAATATTAAAATAAATATATTACAGCATTTTCTTGGCTGCATGAATGGCTGCATAACTGATCTGCTGCAGTGAAAGCCAGCAGTCACAAGATTGGGGTCCCTAGGAAGTACAGTATTCGAGGGGTGTGTGTGCCACTGAATAAATGGGTGAAGTATAAATGGGTGCATGTTGGGAAGAATCTTGGCAAGGTGGGTTAAAAGCTGAGACTTGATAAGTGAATCTCCCTGGCCCGTAAAGAGCGTCCAGAGCTCCTGTGCAAAGTCTGAACTGAAAATCACACAGATACGCACATTGAGTAGGTTCTGATCCTCAGAGGACTCCCGGAGAATCAGCACTTATAAAACAAGGTGGCTCGCAGAAAGACTCTGGATATTGTAAAACAAAACTGCATAGCTTCATCTGGTTTCCTTTGGACTCCTAAAGCAGAGTTGCTGAGTTGTTGCATTCTTGTTTGATGTACTACATGAAATCATATTATTAACTCCAGAGACACAGCGGGCTGTTCCCTGCTCCCTGGTCAGCATTTCACCATTGCTACAGCAACGGCCACAAACAGCTGTGCAAACCCTGAGAATGGGCTCGTTCTTGGGCCCTGACTCTCCCCAGGCCTCTCGGCAAGCACCGGCTCTGCCGGTTATGGCTGGGACAGCTTAAGCTTCCCTCAAGCACCGACTCTTCAGGTGCCAAAAGGTGCGAACTTGAGGAAGAGAAGAGACAAGAACAGCAAGAGAGCAGGCAGTGAGCAGAAAGTCTTCAGCATTAGCTCAGCTAGGGCATAACCAGACCAGCACAAACCCTTACCAACAGCTTCTGCTGGACTCTATTTCCTAGAACAAGAATATTACCTGTTGATTAACCTCTCCTCAGGCTC